ATTGTCTGGATCAAATGAAGCATGAACAATCGGAACATGGTATAGTGATACCTGAAAACGAAAAAGTGAATGTAGATAAAAACAATAAACGGAAGAAAAAGAAGAATCATACGTATTCGGTTGATAAAATTAAGGATATAAGGCTTATTAGGTTTGGTAATAATAAATATGCAAAAAGCATTCGAAGGCATGGTGAAAGTGTTAAAACGCATAAGCCAAGAACAAAGGGGAAAACAAATGTTAATTCAGGTGGTCAAGGCAATTTAAAAATAAAAAGAGGAACGAAACTAAAAGACAAACCTGAAGGTTCCAATGAAAAGAGGATATTCAATCATTATATAAAAGCTGCTGATGACAGATATAAAATGGTCGAATAGAATTTAAAACGTGCAGAAGGTGGTAGTTTATATAAACAGTGTGATCTTGGATTATGCGATCGAATTGAATAGGCAGAGCTGATGATAAACAATTGGCAGCTGAAGGGGAATTAAAATTTGACGAAGAGGTTCTTGACAACTGCTATCGAAGTGATGAGGCGATAGTAGTGATGGAAGCACCATTGGATGACGTAATGAGAATAGATGCGATGATGAGGGGTTTATTAGAATCATTGACGAAAACTGAGTGTGATAGTAACGATGCAGATAATATAAATGGTGAAATCAAGGAGTGCGAAAGAGGTGTTAATGAAAAGCAAGAGGATACAAACAGAAAGGTGATTGTAAATAAAAAGGGAAATGAAGGGGCGTATGGAGTGAAAAACAAAAATGTTGAAAACATACTCATCTATAATAATGAAATAGCCCAAAATGTCAAACCTAATTTAGTATTCAGTGATGAAGACGTTGAAAAGGATGAATATGAGATATTCGTTCATTATCAAAAATCTGCTGAAATGGTTCACGTTAGTGAAGGAGATAAACCGGTTGAACATGAAGTTCTTGGTTACGCTGGTGAGGCTTTTGACACCATAGAGAACTTCAGTAAGGACAAAAACAAAATATTCGATTATCAGCAAAGAACCATTGATGTTGGTAAAACTGCTAGAATTGAAGTTGATAGATCCAAAAATCGGAAGTCTGATACTTCTGATTGCGAGACAAATATGCTTCGATGGTTTTAGGAAGTGAATATCGGTCAGAAAAGTCGTGATCAAGACTGTTTCAATAAGGGAAGGTCTGACAATTCAAATGAGCAATCCAGCCTTGGAGATGGGATCGATGAAAATAAGCCAAATACTAATCTTGAAATAAAGATGCCTCTGATTAATGGTGTAGCCAAAAGTCCAGTTGAAAGTAAAGATCTCAGTGCTGATCAAACCGAAGGTGATGTTGAAGGTGCAAAAGATATGCTACAAACGTCCAAATCTGTAAATGATGGTATGAAAGTGAAAAAAGGGTTGGACTATGGATCATTGTCTAGGTACTGTTGTAATGTCAAGCACAAATGGGATAAAAGTGGCATGTCTAGAGCGCAAAAACCTTGTGCCGGAAATTCAATGATGGTATTGAATATGTTGGATCAAATAAGGAAAAGAGAATTTTACAGCCGACTTTACCTGGATCATGTAATCGAATGTGATGGGTTGGAACATGCGCTGTTTGGAAACCAGTTCAAAATACGCAAGCTTGGACATTTGGACTTGCGAGTATGGTAATGCTGTGGAAATGTTTGAGAAAAAAAAAAATAATAATAAATTTTTTTATGTATTAATTGAACAATATATTGCATTTATTAGTGTATTTAGATAGCATTAGGTTTGGTAGTTGAGTAAGGTATTGTAAATGGAATATTTTGTGTTAATGGTATAGTTTTGCAAGGGTTGAAACTTCAGGGACGAAGTTCCAGGAGATCTAGCTTGTGTCACGAGTTAATTTGGTACCCTGGGATTTCGTGGTGCCAGATTAGGATCAGGGTGCATAAGTGGCATGATTCGGATCTGTATGAATTGCATGATCGTCGAATTAGTAGATGCATAAAAGTAATTTATAGTCTAATAGTATGTAATGCATAATGTGTGTGACCAGTGTTATAAATTCAAAAAATTTTTATTCGCACAAGCACATATTATAAATAAATAGTATATGCGCAAACTTTAAAATCATACACGCACTTTCCGCCTAAACAAATTTAGAAAATATGCACAAAAAAAATTTTTATAAGCTGTACATATAAAACTGCTCGTTTTTTGTCTCAAATCATTATGAGACTAAGCATGTGACATTGGGTTGGCGATTATACTATGTAGATCAAAACTATATGTAGTCATTTAATATGATTTTACAGTAATGGATTAAAATTAGGACTTGCTTTTTTAGATGCACTATGGCTATAAAGTTATAGAACCGTTTTGAACATTACTTATAAGAATATATGTTTTTTCATCTATTTTAATCAGGTTGTTTCGTTTGGTTAGCTGTGTCAACTTTAAAGTAACTAGTAAGATTTTTTTTTAAAAAAAATGTAAAATTCGCTCTACAGTTTAGTTATTTGGAATTTATATTGATCTTCTCAAACTTTCGCCTTAAAATTCTTGGTTATTAAATATGGAATTATATAAACGCTGATTTCACTTAAAGAATGCACATCTTAAAAAATGTAAAAAAAAAACAAGCAATTTAATGAAACAGCACCTGCACCTATTGAAGAAGCATCTGTCGAATTTAATGAAGAATCTAATAAAGAAACATGCCCAATTATGGACCATAATTTATGGTCCTTCGTTTGGTCTGATGATTAATCGATTGATCAAATCAGTGATACAAAAAGAGGTAATGGGAAAGTCTAAGTAATTAGTTAGTAAGTATGAAGTAATTAATCTAGTGTATAGATATATTAGTAATCGATGATATATGCAGAAGAAATAACTTTGCTTCTGTGAACCTGACATTCATTCTGGTTATATCGATCTGTTAGAATAATAGCTATACGGGTTAGAGGCTAATAAGTTTGGTTTATAGACATGGCTTGTCAAGACAACAGTTATTCGTATAGGATTCTATAACCTATCAGGATGATAGTTAAAAAAAAATTAAAAATTTTTTATACAGTACTAGAAAACTGCGTAGGTTGCTCAATGAGTGCCCAGATATATTTTCACAAAACAAAAAACAAAATTATAGTATGTATGCAAAAAAATATATTTATTATAAAAATATTAATTATGAATAAAAATTTATTTTCCAAAAATAAAATTTATAAAAAAAAATAAAATTTTAAGTATCTACAAAATTTTCCATCTGTCTTGCTTTTAAATTGATCCAATGATCATATGCTTTCTCAAAATCAAAATCTTCAATATCAGGACCATTGATTAAAATCATTA